TCGTCCTTGAAGACACTTGAATCAGCTCTGGACTGGCGCAAGGATCCGTCCAGGTTGTGGTGGAACTCGAAGGCGAGGCCCGCCTTCTTGGCAGGTGCTCAGGTGGTGGAGTGCAGCGTCTGTGGCCGTGCGGAGCATCCTTGCGTCGGCGGTCATGATGAGGTTGCATTGTGGGCGCGTCAGCCCCGCGTTGATGCGGTGTCGGTTGTCCACGTGGCCCCAATTGTGTGTGGAGTTGGCACGGGTGGTCATAAGTATGACAACGGACGCCTCTTGTCCCTGGGCGGCGTCGATAGTGGTGTCACGGATCGTCTCGCTTTCCAGGAGGTCTGGGAACAGGCCTTCGAGTCCGCTGAAGCGTTCGCTCAGGCCGTTAGCTGTCGTGCCGTGATTGATCCATGTCCCTCCCGTGACCCCCTTGCTGGCCTGTGAGGAGTTGGAGCTGCCCCCGCCCCGGTGGCGCTGGGGGCCGGGGGCGCCCGCGTTCACCTCGGATCCGTCCCCTTGCGCCGCCCGCGAGCAGCGTCTGATGTCGTGCGCCGATCAGGGGTTGCCTGCCAGTACGGGGTCAGCTGAAGCTTGTACGGCGACAGTACGAGGATGGTGCTGTTGGTCCTTCGTACCCGTGGTTCGAGGGCCTTCACCAGGGCAACCACTGTTCGTGCTTCGTGAATGTTGGCGTAGCCGTCCTGAATCGAGGTCTTGAACCTTGCGAGGGGACGTGTGCAAGCATGAAGCGATGCTGGTCGTAGACGGTGCCACCGTTTCCTCTCGGGACCGTGCAAGCTGCCTTGCACCTGAATCCGCCTACGGTGTCGATCAGAGAGTCGTCGAGCCCGTGCCTGCCGTCCTCGTTCTTTGCTGCTTCGTATTCTTGGTCGGACAAAGGTAGTGCGAGCGGCCGCTCCAGTCCTTCGGCGCATGGTCGCTGCCGCACGGGGTCCAGGATGGCTGAGACTAGCCTGCCCCCATGGAGCGTGAGCGAGGGCAATGCGAGCAGGGGCGGATGGATCCGATAGCACTCCTTCAGAGTGACGTCGGATGCAGGGATGCCCCCTTATGGCTGTCACGTACGTGGCGAGAATGGAAGCGCCTAGTCCCCAGCGCAGTGCCTGTTGGGATTTGACCGTCGGGCACAGCTGCCGCTCGTTGCCGAAGAGGACCGTTCTGGCCCCGCATCTTTCAGCGTGGATCAGGGACATGATGGCCATGGGTTCGGACGTCTGTCCTGCTTCGTCCAGGAGACATGAGGAATTTCTTGTCCCAGAGGTCGGCTCCCGCCTCGTGCGTGGCCAAGATGAGATTTGCTTCAGTGGCGCCTTCCGCTAGGAACTTGTGGAACCAGTTTGCATGTCCCGTGGTGGCCTCGCCCTCCGTATGTTGTGCATTTTGGCGTACTTGGCGACAGGTGTGATCTTCTTGGCTACGTTGCCCTTTACTTTGTCCTCGTGTGCGAGGCGCACGACCAGGCGAGGGAACAGGTCGTTGTTGGCTGGGTTCAGGTTCGTCCCGATTTGCTCTGCCAAGTTGTCCATGGATCCGATGGTGCCGCCAAAGCACCCCACGCCCCACCCTGGGGCGAGGCGCGACATGTGGGCGTCCGCCGCGCAGGCCGCGACCTTGGTATTCCCGGTTCCGGGCTGCCCGTGACATAGGGTAGGGAGGGGGTTCTGGGTCGCGAGCACGCAGCGCCGCTGGGCGGTGTTGGTGTGGTGCAGGTAGCAGGTGCGCTCCAGGCGCTCCTCCTCTGGGGCAGGCAGCAGTCGTTGGCAGACACTGCCAGGGGAGTCCTCCGCCTGCTGGGCCGTCAGTGCGAGTGCGGCCGTGCGTTGGTTGGCGCTGGGTTGGTCGGGGTCGTCGATAGTGCACGCCCACGCGCCCGCGCGCCCACGCGCCCGCGCGCCCGCGCACCCGCGCGCCCGCGCGCCCGCGCGTCCGCGCGCCCGCGCGCCCGCGCGCACGCGCACCTCGCACCCGAGCACCCCCCGCGCCTCCGCCCCGCGCACGCGCGCGCGCACACGCGCGCACGCACGCGCGCACGCGCGCACGCGCGCACGCGCGCACACGCGCGCACGCGCGCGTGCGCACGTGGACCGCGCACGCGCGCACGCGCGCACACGCGCACGCGATCATACCCGCACGCGCGCGCGCGCACGCGCCCACGTGCGCGTGCGCGCGCGCGCGAAAGCGCACAATCACACGCACGCACGCGCACGCACGCACGCACACGCGTGCACACGCGCACGCGCACACACGCGCAGCGCACGCGCACGCACGCGCACGCACACACGCGCGCACGCGCACGCACACACACACGCACACGCACGCACACGCCTGCACGCACGCCCCACGCGCGCACGCGCGCACGCGCGCACGCACGCACGCGCGCGCAGACGAACCAAAATACACGCGCGCACTCACGCACGCGCGCTCACGCGCACCCGCGCGCGCGCGCCCGCGCGCCCGCGCGCGCCCGCGCACCCGCGCACCCGCGCGCCCGCGCGCTCGCGCGCCCGCTCACCCGCGCGCCCGCGCGCCCGCGCATCCGCGCACCCGCGCACCCGCGCGCGCGCGCACGCACGCACGCACGCACGCGCACACACGCGCACGCGCACGCGCGCACACACGCACACGCGCACACACGCAAACACGCACACGCGCACACGCGCGCACGCGCGCACACACGCGCGCACAAGCGCGCACGCACGCGCACACGCGCACGCACACGCGCACGCACGCACACACGCACACACGCACACTCGCACGCGCACACACGCACACGCGCACACAAGCACGCACGCACACATCCTCACAAACGCATGCACGCACGCACGCGCGCACGCGCGCGCGCGCACACACGCGCGCGCGCGCAAGCGTACGCGCGCGCGCGCGCACGCACACACGCACGCACGTGCGCACGCACACGCGCACACGCGCACGCACGCACGCACACGCGCGCGCGCGGTCGCGCACACACGCACGGGCGCATGCGCGCACACGCGCGCACGCACGCACGCGCGCACGCGCGCACACGCACACACGCACGCACGCATGCGCGCACATGCGCGCACGCACATTGCACACGCGCGCACACACGCACGCACGCGCGCGCACGCACATACGCACACCCGCACATACGCACACGCGCACACACGCACACGCACGCACGCACGCGCGCGCACACACGCGCACACTGCGCACACACGCGCACGCGCACACGCACGCACGCACGCGCACGCACGCACACGCGCACACACGCACACGCACGCACGCACACGCACGCGCACACGCACGCACACGCACGCACGCTCGCACGCACGCACACTCACGCGCACACACACACGCACGCACGCATCACGCACGCGCACATCACGCACACGCACGCACGCACGCGCACACGCGCACGCACGCACGCGCGCACAAGCACACAAGCACGCACGCACGCACGCACACACGCACACACGCACGCACTCACATTCACACACGCACACACGCCACCACGCACGCGCGCACACACGCACGCAAGCGCGCACCCACGCACACACGCACACACGCGCACACGCACACACGCACACACGCACACACGCACACACGCACGCACGCACACGCGTACACGTGCACACTCGCACACGCGCACACGCGCATACACGCACGCACGCACACGGGCATACATGCACATACGTACACACGTACACGCACACACGCACGCTCACTTGCACGGACGCACGCACGCACGCAAACACGCACGCACGCACGCATGCACACACGCACGCATGCACACGCGCACACACGCACGAACGCACACGCGCACACACGCACACACGCACACACGCACACACGCACGCACGCACACAAGCACAAACGCACGCATGCACACACGCACGCGCGCACACACGCACACGCGCCCACGCTCACTCACGCGCACACGCGCACGCGTGCGCACGCACGCACGCGCGCGCGCACGAACGCGTGCACGCGCGCACGCACGCACACGCGCGCACGCGTGCGTGCGCACGCTTGCACACACGCACACACGCACGCACGCACGCACGGACGCGCGCACGCACGCTCACGCGCACGCGCGCGCCTACGCACACGCGCACGCAGGCGCATGCGCGCGCCCACGCAGGCACGCACGCACATACGCACACTCACACACGCACACACGCACACGCGCACACGCTGCACGCACGCACACACGCATACACGCACACGCGCGCGCATGTACGGGTGCACACACGCGCGCACGCACGCGCGCACGCGCGCACGCACGCACGCACGCACGCACACGCGCACGCATGCACACACGCACGCGCGCGCGCACGCGCACACGCGCAAACGCGCACGCGCGCATGCGCGCACAGGTGCGCGCGCGCACTCGCGCGCGCACGCGCGCACACGCGCGCACGAGCACGCGCGCGCACGCGCACGCGCGCGCACACGCTTGCACGCGCACGCGCACACGCGCACGCGCGCACGCGCGCGCACGCGCACACGCGCATGCGCACACACGCTCACGCGCGCACGCGCGCACGCGCGCACGCGCACCCGCGCACACGTGCACACGCGTACACGCACGCACACGCGCACACGCGACATGCGCACACGTGGACGCCCGCACGCGCGCACGCGCGCACGCGCGCACGCGAGCACGCGCGCACGCGCGCACACGCGCACACGCGCACACGCGCACACGCGCACACGCGCACACGCGCACGCACACGCGCACACGCGCACACGCGCACACGCGCACACGCGCACACGCGCACACGCGCACACGCGCGTACACATGCAGACGCACACGCACGCACACACGCACACACGCACACACGCACACACACGCACACACGCAGACGCACACATACACACACACACCGATTCTGGCCTGGCTCCTCCTGGGACCACATCCACCGATTTCGGAAGGTGTGTGCACCCTTTCTGGGCCCAGGATGGCCCTGGTCTGGATCGGTGCATGTGCACAGCTCCCGTTTCTCTGCCAGGACGAGTTCGGCCACCGCATGGCGGCCAAGGGCAGCGGCGTCGTGCGGGAGGTCACGAGAGACGACGAGGTGGCCGTGGCAGAGATCAAGGCCGGACGGGGGATGCGTCCTTGTAGAACCCACCGCTTGGCAGTTTGCCTGTGCCCCAACGGCTTGGTTGCTGCCTGAGCGGTGCCCTGCTTGCAGAGGCAGCTGTAAACGCGCTTGTTGCTCGATTGGCGGCAGCTACAGCCGTCAGTCTTTTTTGCACGAGCGGGGAGGAGGACGAGGAGGAGGATGAGGAGGGGGAGGGGGGGAAGAGGACGAGGAGGAGGAGGGGGATACCGAGTAGTAGGAGAGGGGGAAGGCGGAACAGGAGGATGATGATGAGGATGAGCATGAGATTGAGGAGGAGGATGAGGAGGAGGATGAGGATGAGGATGAGGATGATGATGCTGATGATGATGATGATGTTGATGATGATGATGATGCTGATGATGATGATGAGGAGGAGGAGGAGGAGGAAGAGGAGAAGCAGGAGGATGAACCAGATGGGGAGGAGGAGAAGGAGGAGGAGGAGGAGGAGGAAGAGGAGGAGGTAACGTCGATGACTCGTCGTGCAGCTGAGCAACAGGAGCACTGGCCAACATTGGGCCCTGCTGGGCCACGAGATACTTAAACAAGTTTCTTGTCCGTCTTGGGGTGCCTGTCAGCACGGGCAGCCTTCACATTGCATCGCTGTCTGTACCTGGCCTGCGAATCCTTCGAGGGCCCTTTACAGTGTTCATCGATATTGTAACTCCCTACGTTGCTACAAGACACCTGGCAGCAGCCGCACAAGGTGCACACCATGGCACCTGAGGTCACCAGCACCTTGCGCCCGCGGAGCTCGACGATTTCCACAGACGACGGTACTGGCGATTCGTTGCTGTGAGCAGGAACCCCCGCACCCGAACCATCTACATCTTCGGAGTCTTGGGCCCACTGCAGGGCCACCTTGACAGCCTCTGACTGCAAGGGCAGAGCCTGCTGCAACACCAAATCCCGAGACGACGTCAAGCTCTGCTGAGGAGTCGGTTTGCATGGGGAGCCTAACAAATTAGCTAGGCTCGCATCCGTCCTAGCAACAGCCAAGCCTTTCTTGCACTGGAACGCTTTGGCCCCCTCTGAGCACCCTAGACCCCATCACATGCTGCGTGGCCGCTAACTTAGGGCACACTTGGGCAGGGGGTCTATAGGATGAAGCAGGGCCGTCGGACTCACTATCACGAGAAGCACTCTGGGCGGCAGCCCACGGCGGGAATCGTGCGTTCAACTTCCTGTCGGACATCAACCACTTCATAGTACTTGACCAACGTTTCTGAAACCGCATCCTCCAATGCTCCTTGCTTTGCAAACCAGTCGGACCAACCGTTCCCTAAAGATCTCGTAAGGATGAGTCGACTCGACTTTTTTTTCCACCGTCACGTGCGCTGGGATCCAGTAAAAGTCTGGAGTTCGCAGTGCTCCTGTGGCAGGCCACTCTCATCATGCCACGGGAGCAAGTCTGTGACCATCATCGTCACCCCTGGCAAGAGCAACAGCACCCGATAGACAGCAGATCGTTCGGCACGGCCTACTGTCTGGATTGGACCCGGCAGAGCTCTCCAGGCCCCTCTTACTGGCATGCCGCTGTTTCCTAGTTGACAGGACCCCCGTCCACATCTTCGAAACTCTGGCCAACTTGGGGCCATCCCCGAAACATCCGTGAATACCACTCGGGTTCAAGTTATCAACCGATGAAAGCACACTAAGTCCTTCACGGGCTCTCTAGAGAAATACTGTTTGTAGTATCTCGGGCTCACTGTGAATAATCTCGTCGTGACGAAGAATAAAGAACGCAACCTTTTGTGTGACTCAGGGGCCCCTCAATCAAGAAACAGCGGCGGTTCAACAACCATGAAACGCACTGCTTGCTATACTGCTGCAAATCACTGTGCTAAGAGACACATGAAATGACATTAAACATCAACAGAAAGGGTTCCAGCTGACACGGGCGGAAAAAGGAGTTAGAACATATTACTTCGCAACATTCACGGGATCAAAACCGTGTGATCGGAGGTTCCAAGGTACGCCACCCGGGAACATCAATTTAAACAGGAGCAGTTCTCGAAACCGAGAAAGGCCCTGCGACGGCGAGCAAACCTAAAACGAAAGAAACTCTGCACGGAAAGCGTGAGTCCCACGGGCGATCGCCCTCGGAACAAAGATGATCTGGCAAATCTAGCTCACAAAACCGCACGTGGAGTAAAACGCTCCACCGCACATAATCTCAATCCCTTCATTCACCGCCGAAGCGAGGCTCGGCTTCTCGCCTCGACACCACAACCTGCAGGGAACCTCACTTGCCGCTCATGGGCGGCCCATCCTCGTTGTAGAACCTGCAAAGCTCGTACCGCGTCGCGCTCTTCGCGCCCCGCAACCCCGCGCACGTGCTCGTCAACTCGTATCTCTCGCCGTACGTGCTGATGTGCACGTCGGCTGCTTGGCCGTCGTAACTGGGCGCCTTCGGGTTGCGGACGTCACCGTCGGTCCATGCGTCGGCACATCTCCGGGGATGGTAGACCTCATAGTCGTCTTCGTCGTCCCACTGCTCGTTCCCGTCTTCGGTGAGGCACTGTCCGTGCCCTTTGCGTCTTCGTCTTCTTCTTTGTCACTTGTAGCTCCACCTCGTTGTTGCAGTGCCGTGTCCATGGGGCTCTCCATCTTCCGGTGGGCCAGCGTTGCGCCAACCTTTCTCCCCATGCAATAGCCGATCGCCGGCCCGATGCCCAGCGATAACACGATCACAAACACGAGAAACGTCAGGAGGTCCCACGCGCCACCGTCCAGATCCACCGGGGTGCGCATATCGCGTCCCTGGCTCCCTGAAGCGGCGCCTGCAGCTAGAGTAGCTGCCAGCCTCCTCCCGCTCGCTCCGTAGTGTCCACGGCGCGCTCGTTGCTTCGGGTGTTCCGTAGTTTCGGTGTTGCCCGCAAGCTCGTCGCCGGCTTGCTCCAGCTGTTTCTCGCGCAGCTCCACCTGCCTTTTGCTTAGCCTCTTCCCCGCCACGAAGTTCGGGTCGTACTTCAGCGCGTGCACTCCGCGTCGTAGTGTGTCCGCTAGCGTCTGGCGACTGCTGAGCTTGGTAAGCCCATTGGCCAGCTGTTGCTGAGTGTTGACCCACCTCCAGACCGCGTCAATCTCCTTCATCTGTTCGTTCACGATCCCGACTTCGATGGCGGTACGCTTCTCGGTGATGCCCAATCCCGCGGTAAATGCCCGCGAGGCGTCGTAGAGACACATGGCGTCCGTGATGGGAGGGGACTGGCCGAAGTACGTCGTGGCCTCGTCGCCGGTCAGGTCGAGCTGAGCGTCGCGTAGATCTTCACCCACATGAGCGAGTCCACGCCTACCGCGACGGCCTGAGCCTCGGCTGACAACCAACTCCTGCACAGGCGTTGCAACTTCCTCGATTCCCATTCCATCGCCACGATCGGCGTAGGTGTGCCCGCCTCAAGCTCTTCGGCAGGCCCGATGAAGATCTGGTAGCCGCCCTGTGAGCTCCCGTCAGGTCGGCTCGCCCAGCTAGCATCCGAGTAAGCTCCAATCCCCTGTAGCGCTCCATGGCTTGTCGAAACTGAAGTACAGCCCGACGTCCGCATTGGCCTTCAGGGATCGCAGGTCCTTGTTCGCGTCGATCATGTCCTGCACGGTGGCGTTGCCCGTCGCAGCAGCACGAAACGACACGCTGGCGGCTGCAATAATGATGCCCTGCGCGGTTGGCCACTGCAACTGCCCCTACAGCGTCCTGAAACTCGTCTCCTTCGGTGTCAATGGACTCGTCGGGCTCGCACGTCGGACCTTGTCGATGGTGATCGGTTTGACCGCGTGCAAGTACTTCTCGAAAACCAGCGTGGTCGCGTAGGTGTTGACGGTCTGCTCCAGCTCGCCACCCGTAAACGTAAGCTCAAGCCCGAAGTCCCACTTGCCGAAATTGAATTTCTGGTTAAGTACAGCAAGCCTGGCCTTGAACGACTCGGGGTCGTCCACGGGCGTGTGCAGATCGTCCTCCGTATTCATATTCTCTCCGCGTCCCAAGAAGTCGTCCACGTGCTTCCCGATCAGGCCGTCCACCGCGTTGTTCTGGCCGTCGATCACGCAGATGTCGAACGGGTCATCACTGGCCTTCGCGATCCTCAGGCTGAGTAACAGGCAGTCCTCGAGCCAATGATTCTTGAACCCGATCTCCTTGGTGACTTCGTCGGAGCGGTAGTGCCGCAGCTTGGGCGACCGCGGGTCTCCGAAGCATGGCTAGATCATCTTCAGCAATTGTCCAGGTTCCAGTCCGATCTGCTGTGACAACATCTCCCGCATCTCCTTGGTATGTGTGGCGTACAGCTTCAACCCGCGGGATTCCACGTTGTCAGCTTGAAGGAACGCGGACTTCACGTCGGCGGGAACAACCTTCACTTACGCACTGTCGCCCACAGCATGATGGTGTGTCGGCCGAGGCGGCTCAGGGTCGGCGTCTCCTTGTCGAGCTGCCCCTCGACCACGTCGCGATGCTTGAAGCCCTGGTACAGGACTCTCGCGTTGGCAACGTGCTTGCCATCCTTCAGCTTCCACTTCGGCAGGACCCGTAGCGGGCAGCAGGCGGCTGGGTCGACCGCGGACTCGTTAGGGGACTCCCACCCCTCGTTCTTATTGAAGACCTCAAGGGCTTCCCACTTCGCCTCCTGGAACTGCTTCTTTTTCCTCGGGTGAGAGCCTGGCCTCCACGATGGTGGGGGCCTTCCGCTTGTGCGTGACCATAAACGCGGTCTTGGCCGACTCTTCCACCAAGAGCAACTCTTCATCGTCGTCCTCCATGATCTTCGCGTCCTCGGCCTTGGCCTCTAACGTCTTCCAGGTGAGCCGCGCCTTCTTATTCGGCAACCCGTCCAAACGGTCGTTCGCCTCCACGCTGCGTTTGGTAGGCCCGGGTCGGCTCACTTGCCGGCGCGGCCGCAGCTGGTGCTTCCGCATGGGCGTCGACAGGTGCCGGCGGTGGCTCCTCTGACGAGTCGGGCATGAAGCTGTCGGGCGACGCCTCCTCCGCGGCAGGGGTGGCTGGCGCGGCGTCCTCTGGTTGTCCAGCCTCCTGGTCCGTCTCCGCGCGAGCGGCGACTGTAGTGGGCTGGCCCATGTCGCCCACAGTTTCGTCGCACTCTGGCTTGTCGCCCTTGTCTCGCAGGTCCTGGATGTTAAACGTCCCTCTGCCAGCTTATGGTGAGCACCCTTGGGGGTGATGTCGAACTCGATGTTGCGCTCGCTCATCCACTTCTGCGTCTTGGCTGCCGTGTGCGATCCTCCAGCGCCCATGCGCATGCAGTCGGGTTTTCCTGCCCAGCTGATCCACAACTTTCCCCACAGCTTCGTTTCGCGCCTGAACGTCTTCTTTTTGATCGGGTAGTCAGCCTCGTACCTTGAGAACTCGTCCATGATGGCTAGAATTTTTCGTTCCTTCTTCTTCCACATGATGTAGTACACGTCCGTGCATTCCACCTGGTTGAAGCGCTTGGCTTTGGGATGGACCGCTACACGGACTGAGCGTGGCCTCTGGCGCTTCATGCAAATCTCGCACTGGAATACCCGAGCGCACTGGATCCACTCAGCTGGGGCCTTCGTGTTCTGCATGGCGGTGGCTAGCGCGGCGTTGGAAGGATGCCCCAGGCTGATGTGTGCGCGCTTGACGGCCCGCACGGTGGATACGTTATAGCGCTTCGTGAGCCCCCCCCGCATGGCGTCGATATATTCGCCCAAGTCGAAGTCGGGTCCGACTTCCTCTGTGGTGTGGATCTTCTCAATGTCTTCCTCTCGTCCCTGATGCGCGATCAGATAGGCCATGCGCTTCGCCATCCTTACTGGGTAGTTCCGGGCCTGAGACGCTAGCTTCCCACGAAGCACCACGTGCTCCGTCTTGCACGTGCATCCCAGGCTCATGTTTTTAATGAACTCGTCGTTGGTGGACTGTAGTCTTGTTTGTCGGCTTCTGGTACAGCTTAGTCACTCCGTCGATCTCATACTCGGCTCCAGGCCGACACTGATCCAACCTTCAAAAATCTCCCTTGAGCTTTTGCCACGTCTTCGTCTTCCAATGACGTCCGCTCAAGGGTCCTTCTACACATGCATGGCGTCTAGCGGCGGCCTGTTTGTCCAAAACCTGTTTCGCCATCTTCAGGAGGGTGGCTTCCTCGCGCTCCCTTGCCGGGGCGATCGCCTCCTTGCGCTCCTCCGGGAGGGGCGCGTTCGCGTGCTGCCGCGAACGCCAGTTGGTGAACGGCGGGGCGAAGAAGATGTCGTTTGGTTTCTCCCCGTCGATGCCCTCCAGAAGCTGCCGAATGATGCGCGGCTTCGAGAAGTCCCAACCTCGACCATCGGGTAGTTCAGCAACTCGGTGGGGGGCCGGCCCAGGTCCACGAAAACCCCCCAGACGACTCTCGGACCAGGGCCCTGTAGTAGCGAGCGCATCCCCTCTTCGGCGTTCTCCGCTGCGAGGATCAAGTCTGAGTAGACGTCCGGCGGCGTGCCGTTCGGGTCCTTCCTGGCGTTGTCCTCTGGATCCTCGGAATCGTCTGTGACCGTGATCTCGTCGCGTCCGTCTCGCCTGGGGCCAGGAACGCCGCGTGCGTCTCCAGGTAGTACGCGTCGGTGTCTCCGATGTCCGAGTCCGTGGCGTCGTGCTCAGGTCCCGAAGCGCTCGCAGCGCGATCGGGCGATTCGTCGCTGGTGTTGCTGCCCTCGCCCTCCGTCGGAATGCCCATGTTCGTGACGTCGTCGGGCGCGTTGCCGGCGCAGCCTAACAGGTCGATAATGAAGTGTCCCTTCTCGTCGCGCTCGGAGGTCGCCCAGCCTTTTTCGGGGTGTTCCTCCAGCATAAACTGGCCCTCGCGATAGCCCTGGACCGGCCCCCGCTCTTCCGTGCATGGCCTCGCGATGAGGAGCGGTGTCCACCCAGGCGCCAGGTGGATGGTGATCTCTTTCCTCACGCCGAAGGGCCAGACGGTGAGCGTGACTTTCTGCTTGGCATCTAGCGTCTTGCCGTCGCCGAACCTGAACCTGCGGTCGTTGTTCTCGTACTTCACGTCGTGGATGAGCTGCTTGGCTCGCAGGTGCTCCTCCCGCTGTCGCCAATTCTGATCGCCCATGACGGGTCGGGTAGCTCCTCCATCGCTGATGCCCGGGCCGACCGTGACCAAGTTCACCTCCTCGATGGTATTGGCATCTCGAGATCCTCGGTGTTCGCAGTGCCGTCCACGTCCTCGACCACGTGCGACTCCTCTTTTTTGTTCACGAAGCCTCGTTCTAAACCGCTTGAACCGAGGACCGTGCTGCTGGGTCGATCCCGACGTGCTCGACCTCGGAGGCGAAGGCGGTGGGGCCGACGTGGGCGACTGCGGAAACGCCGGGCCTCCGCGAGGAGGGAAGCGTGGCGGTCCCTTGCCCTTGCGTTTGCCCTTGCCTCGTCCTTTGCCCTTGCCTCTGCCGCTGCCCTTGGGCGTCGACCGCGGCTCGCGCGTGAGGTTGTTGTCAGGGGCCAGGGCGACGATCGGGTAAAAGCCTCGGGGCTTGGCGATCTCGGCCACGCGCTTCTTGCTCTCGATGAAGCTGACGTACGCCTCGTCGCAGGCAACCTGCGCTTCCTCGATTTCTGGCGGCGCGTCCACAGCCCCGTCGGCGTCGTCCTGCTCGTGCCCGTAGCCGTCGTCATCCTCGTAGTAGTGGTCGTAGTCGTCCTCCTCTTCAACGTAGCCGTCCTCGCCCAGGTACGAGTCCTCGTGGGCGAGACCTCTCTCCCACTCGTAGTCGTTCGTGTAGTTCGCGTCCGCGGTGGCGCTGCTTCCTGTGAGCATCCGCTCGGTCCTCTTCACGTCGCGCTTGTCAGGCGTAGGCTCCGCTCCGTACGTGTCGAGCAGAACCTTGCGAATCAGCCAGCTGAGACCGTCTCCGCACTGGCTGCACACCTGGGTGGCTCCGTTCGGTGGTATCGCGGCTCGATTGAAGAGGTGCCGGCCAGCCAACGCATCAGGAATCTCCATTCCGACCTCCTTCAGCTTGCGCAGCTCTCGCTGGTGGCGTAAGCAATACAGCTTCAGCGTCTCTTTCTCCTGTCGCGCGAACTTGCCGAATAAGGTGTCGGTTCTGGCCGGCAGCTCGGTCTGATTATCGTACTTGTAGTGCGCGTCCAGGACCTTGATGATAGGCTGGAACGCATCTTCTGTCTCAAACATGTCCAGGTCGATGTCTTCCGTAGCCTTTGTTGCTTCACCCTGCAACGAGTTCATGATCAAATGGGCGCCCTCGCTGACGGCGTTGAGACCTCTCTTACGGCAGCGCCTCTCGAAGACCTGGAGCTTGCGGCGGGAAGCTCTATAACCCTCGCTGCGCAGCAGCTCGAAGCTGGGCGCAGTCTTGCTCAGGCACGCATCTGGCCCCTTCCCCCGTCCCAGCCGTTCTCGGTATAACCGCCGCTGCTCCAGCGGCTCCAACTGTCGTCTTCTTCTCCTAGCTTGGCGGCGTAGTCGGCTTCGTCCACGCTGCTAGGGATCTGTGTCCCGTCCGCGGCCTGGGCCCGCGAGCCGGCCGCGGCGTCTGGGGCAGCTGCGGAAGCCCCTGGTGCGGATCTCGCACCCGTTCTCCTCGTCGGCGGTGTCGCTGGGGCGGCGAGGTTGGCGGCGCAGGCTGGGGAGATACGATGGCCTGCAGCAGCCATTCTGCTGCGAGTACGGAGCACCGAAAACCAAAGATATCGCAGGGCACTTGCGAATCTAGGCTCACGAACAGCGGCCCTAGTCCCTCCAAGACGTTTTCCTCACATGAAAATCTCCCGGTGTCGAGTAACTATCTCTCGAGCCTGCCACCGTTGCACGCCCTCGCCCACCAACGCTACCATACATCTAGAAGAAACAACATCATATGAGTCAAGTACTTGGCGTCATCACATATCGTAGTGCTAGCTCCATACACTCCTGTCTATCGTGAGCCGCAGCGTTGGCTTCGGTCCCCCTGCCTTTGCCCAGGTATTTGTTTGTCGAGGCTGCGCGTCCAAGGAAATCCAGGCCCTTTGCAGACGTCCCAAGGGGACGCGCTGATCCCAAACAGAGGCAGCATTGGGTAGAAGCTTACTTTAGTCTGGGGGTATAAGCTCTGGGGCAGGCCGCGGAGGGCCTCCAAGGGGCCCCCCCTTCCGCTCTGCAACCGCTTTGGCTGAACTGGCCCTCTTCGCGGGCATGCGATTGCCTGGGCCCGCGGCCTCCCCTCCGGCGGGCCATCGCGGGCAGTGGTCGCCGGCGCCTCGGGCGCATGCGCCGTCGGGCCGGTGGGGGGGCCGGGCCCGAGCCGACCCCGCCGCCGGCCGAGGGGGCCGCGGCTGGGACAGCCGCTCCGCCGCCGGCGGAGCCCGCGGGCGCCGAGGCGCCGGCGCTGCAGGCGGGCAGCGCCGTGGGCTGGGCCCCGGCGTGGCGCCCGCGCCCAGCGTTCGGGCCCGAACGCTGGGCCCCGCGCGCGCCGCTCGTGCACCTATGGCTCCCGCCAGTGCAGCTGCGCGAGAGCGGGCCGCCTGTGCGGGCGCGCGCGTGGTGCGGCGGCCAGCTGGGCGAGACCCCCGCGCACCCGCTCGGCTCGCGCGCCCTCGTGGTGCCGGGCTGCGAGCTTTGCTGGGCGCTGGGGCGGGCGCTGCAGAACGCGCACCGCGCGCTCTTCACGCCTGGCGAGCGCCGGGCCGCCCTGCCGCTGGCCGAGCACATGGGGGCCATCGTGGCGGCCCTGGCTGGCCTCGCGGGCGTGCCCCCGCCTCCGCATCCGGCGTGAGGGCTGCCGCCGAAGGGGCGAGCGGGGGCGGCTGCCGGGCGTGGTGGGCGCGGGCGTGGCCGCGGGCGCGGCGGAGCCGGGCGAGGAGCGGCCGCAGCCCGTGGCGCGCGGGGCCGAGGTGCTGCCGCGGCTGCCCCCGCGGCCAAGCGGGCCCCGCGCAGGCGCGCGGCCGCCGCGGCTCCTGGGGGTGCAGCCCTCTTTGCTGCCGGCGGGCCGGGGCCGTTCGCGCCCCTGGCCGCGGGAGCGGCAGGTACTTGTGCGGCCGGCGCGGCGGGCGGCCTCCCCTGCGGCGGAGGGTCGGCTGCCGCCGCGGCGCCCGCAGCTTGCGCGCGGAGGCGTGCCGGAGCAGCCAGCCTCAACCCTGCCGTGGTTGCTGCCGCGCGGGCTGGCGGAGGCAGCTCTCAGGAGCTGGCCGCGGGGCTGGCGCAGATGGCGAGGGGCCTAGGCGCGTGCCTCAACCGGCAGCGCATCGCCGCGGCCATGCAGGCCATGCAGGCGGGCGCCGCGCCCGCGGCTGGAGCACCTGCACAGCTGGGGCTCGGGGCTCAGCTCGCTGGGGCCCTCGCCGCCCCGGGCGTTGCTGGCATGCCCGGCCCCGCGGGGCTGGGGGTCGTCCCGCTGCTGCCGGCGTGGCTGGCTGGGGCTGCCGCGGCGCAGCCGGCGGTGGCGGGGCTTCAGGCCGCAGGCGCGGCAGGAGCTGGAGTCGTCGCTGCAGACGGGCCACGGCTCGGCAAGGGGCTGCAGCCGCAGGTGCTGGCTCAGGCGGCGTTCACGACGGGCAGCATCATCGAGGTGCCGACGCACGACGACGCGCTGGCGGTGACCGGCACAGCGCTGCTGAAGCTGGGCGCCATCTGGGCCGCGGACGCTCTCGGCACCTTCGCCGCCGCCGTGTTCCGCGGCGCGTCGACGCCCGTCAGCGCGCTGCAGTTCGAGCAGGCCAGGGGTGCCGACGGCGGAGCTCCGCTGGTTCACCTCTGCTCCAGCCCTCGCGAGGGGTGCCAGGCAGTGGCGGGGGCGCACTCCGTGTGCCACGTCGGTGCTGCGCGTGAGGGGCCCCTTGCAGCTCGGCGAGGCGCGGGCCCGCCCTGCTGCCCTGGTGCGTGCTGCCCCTGCGGGGGATGCTGGCGCGGACCCGCTCGGCGAGGTGAGGTCCAAGGCTGCGCTCGAGGCGAAGGTGGTGCAGCTAGAGCAGGCCCTCAAGCGGCATCGCGAGGGGGCATGCCGACCTCTTCGCCGCCGCGGCCAAGAGGGCGCGGGGTTCCGCCGAGCCCGGCATCGCCGGCGACGGAGGCGAGGCCGAGCCGTTTTTTTCACGATGCCCCCTCCGGCTCCGTGACGAACCGGATCCAGCGAGCGGCGCGTCAACGCCCGGGCGCGCTGCTCGAGGCGGGCCTCTCCGAGATGGCTCGATTCCTGGGCCAGCGGGAGGGGGCGGGCGCAGGAGGCAGCTCAGCTCGATTGGTGTCCCACCTGAACAGCATCTTCATTGGGCAGCGCCCGCAGAGCGGCATGTCCCAGCACTCGGTGCGCGAGATGCGGACGATCGCGCGCGCGATCGACGGGCTGCTCGAGGGGGAGCTGCTGGAGGTGGGCGACCTGCTCGCCGGCGGCTGAAGGCCTTCGAGCTGAGTGTGCGCGACAAGGACTGGGCCGTGGCCAGCCAGCTGGAGCTCATGGGCGACCAGCCCGGGATCGCCAGCTTGTCGGAGCGCCAGGATAGGGGCTCCGCGGTGGCGAGGAGCGAGGGGCCGCTCCTCCCCTGAGGCGACCCCCCCCGCTCGCGGAGCCGCCGCGGGCGGGGGCAGCTCCGCTCCGCCTCAGACGGGGAGCGTCCCGTTCTGGAAGCGGAGTCATCGTGGCCGCCGCAGGGCGAAGGCGAAAGCCCAGCCGCGCCCGCCGTCGCCGGGGCGTTCGGCGGGCCGGGCCCGCCAATGCAGCCCGCCCCGGTGGGGGGGCCCCCGACGGCAGAGTGGGAATCGCCCCCGAGGCCGAGGCGGTGGCGGTGGATCGACGGTCGGCAGCGGACGCGGTCAACGGCAACCCTGTCAGGAGGGTCATGCTGCGACCAGGCGCCGACCAGCCCCCTGGCAACGCCGAAGTGCATCCGTGGATCGAGAGGCTCCGATCCCCCCGCCCGAAGGGGCGCGGCGGAGGATCGAAGGGCGAAGGGCAGGGGTGCCAAGGGCAAGCGCAGCAAGGGCAAGGGCAAGGGCAAGGGCAAGAAGGCCTAGCCGCCCAGCCGCCCTGGCGCCGAGAGAGGACCCACCTCCCAGCTGCTGCTGCTGCCGTGAGCTCCGAGGTGCTGCCGCCAGTCCTCGGCGCGCCTGCTGGAGGAGACCGCGCCGCCCTGCCACCCTGGCACCGCCCGCGGGGGGGCCCCTCCGCCGCTGCTGCTGTCAGCCTTGAGGTGCTGCCGTCAGCCCTCGGGCGGCCTGTGGGAGGAGGCTCCGCCTTTGGCGTGCGCCCGACCTGCCGTGGGGTTGCTGCAAAGGAGATCGAGGAAGCCGCGCCGCACGACGTGCCGCAGGTGCTGCTGAAGCTGGCGCGGTCGCTGCCCGCCAGACATGGCGAGGCTGCCGGGCGTCTGATGCAAGATGGAGGCAGGCCAACTTCCAGGGCAGAGGGGGGACAGCGTGACCTCCTCCCCCTGCCCTTCGTTGCACTTCCAGACGCAGAGCTTCGCGGACTGGGGGCGACCTCGTGCCAGCAGGTGAAGGCGGCCTCAACCGCCTGTGCGCGAACTGCTGAGCCGACCCCGAGAGGTGTGTGCAGCGCGGGCCTCCCAGCCCAGCGCAGCTCAGGGGCCTGCGCATGCTGGCTCGGGCAGCCCTGCTTTTCATCGCCCGGGGCCCAGAACCCGTCGGGCCCACTGACTGGGCCAGCCCGCTGGCCAAGAAGCGGGTGGCCTACGACGGGGGGGAGGTCGGTGCAGCAGAGACGCTCACGGTCGAGCAGGTGCTGCCCGCATTGCCGCCCCTTGGCATCGCTGCCTCCGTGGAGGCGGCGCCGCTCTGCGACCCCGTGGTGCGCGGGCGGTCCTCGGCGCAGACTCGATGGTCCTCCCCGAGGGCGTCGGGCCAGCCGTGCCGCCGCAGGCCAAGATCAGGGCTTCCAACGAGGTCTGGGAAGAGCTGGTGGAGGTCTTGTGGGCTCGCGGGCTCGTGGAGCCACTCGACCTGAAGGACGTCCTCCACGTGGGCGGCAAGCCGGTACTGTGCGGGGCCTTCGGAGTACGGAAGGGAACCGAGCGGACGGTGAAGCTGCGCGACGGTTCCTGCGGCCAAATCCTGCGCCTCATCATGAACCTCGTGCTTTCGAACGTGATGCAGCGCGTGGTGGGCGGGGGCATAGGCCAGCTGCCCCTCTCGAGCCAGTGGTCGACAATCACGCTGCTGTCGCACGAGATCATGCTGTGGACCTCCTCCGACAGGCAGTGCTTCTTCTGCGCGTTCAGGTTGCCGCCGTGCTGGAGGAAGCTCATGGCCTTCAGGACTCCTGTGCCTGGCCGCTTGGTTGGCCGGCCAGACAAGGCCATGGTGCACGTCGCCAGCGCCGCAGTGGCGATGGGCTGGATCTCGGCCACAGGAGTGTCGCAGCACATGCACCGCAACGTGTTGAAGGCACGGCGCCCGGGCTCTGTCGGACTGGAGCCAGAGGCGGAGAGGCGCAGGGACCGCGGGGGCCCACTCACGTCCCGCAGTTCGGACACGACCGCTTGGGAGGTCTACATCGACAACCTGGAGATCCAGGGGCTGATCGACCGGGCGGGCGCCGAGGCCCTCCGCGGGGGCGTCGGCCCCTTGCTCGAGCTCGCGAGGGCGGCCTACGAGGCCCACGGCGCGCTTGGCGTGGCGGACAGGACGTGCTCCGCCAGTCCGAGACGCATGCCCTCGGGGACAG